TTTAAAAATTAGTTTGTGACTATCACTGCGGGGTTTCCCGCCGTTGACTGCCCCTGAGGCAGCTGCATTTTGAAAATGCGCGTCCTTTAATGTTACACTTTGGTCGCACTTCGTTTTAAACGGCAAATTACAGCTTTTTTCCTTTTCTCTAACGATCCGTTCAACTGAATAACCCATATAACGTTAAGTTAGTGATGTCCGGCGTTGTGATGAAATCTGTGACTTGTCGAAAATTTTGACCAGGTCGCGCTCTTCAGTAACATTTTCACTCGGGAACGTGCTTGTCTCATGCACGTGACTGTGAACGCGCAGACGTCTAAACCAAGCAAATAGCATCGAGCTGTGCTGTAAAGGATATTTTAAATTCTGGGATTCAGAAAACGGGTTTATGGAAGAACTTTAATGTCGTGATATTTTGTTGTTGTCTGCTGGTAGACTGCTATAACTAAACATGAGTCGAAAAAATCCTATAGTTCATTACAAATGCCAATTACTGAGTTTAAATTACATGTGATACAGGTAGGATTAAGATAGAAGTGTTTTCCCTGTATAAACTTACTATAATGTTTAATAAATTGACATTTTGTGTCAAATTTATTTGTTTTCTAAAACATTGATGACCAGATATCTTTATACATTTGGATGTCAATTGATTAGAATGTTATTAAAAAGGTGATTAATTTTACTAATACAAAATGTGACACTCAGTAATTAGCTTTTGTAATGAACTGTTTTTTTCAACTCAATCTCACAACTAAATGTTTAGTTTTAGCAGTCTACCTGCAGACAACAACAAAATATCACGACTACATTAAAATTCTTCCATGAACCTGTTTTCTGAATCCCAGGATTTGAAACATTCTTTACATCACCGCTCGACGCTATTTGCTTGATTTTTGTGTCTGCGCTTTCACAGTAACATGCATGAACGTCATGCACTTTGCTGAGTGAAGATTTTACTAAACGTCACACCCGGGTCACAGTTTTCAACAAGTCACAGATTTCGGCACAACACCGGTTTATCAATATGTGTTCTTTTGAATCACACTGTAAGCCTAATCAAACGAAAACTTGTTTTTTTTTTCTTTAGCTACAATGCTCTTCAAAGTCATTTATGGAGGCAAAAAGAAGTTGATTAAGGTAGATGAAGTTGATTACAGCAGTCTAATAAAAGAAGGTAAGTTCTTAAATTATTGACTCCATTTTTGTTTTGACTGTTGCTGCAGGTGGAATATCTTTTTTCAATTAATGTTATTTCTTTTAATACGTCAAGTCAAGAAGAAATTTTCCATCAAGCAAAAGGATCTGGTTTTGCAAGATGACACCGGTGTGGAGGTAGATGAAGATGTTTTCACTGACGTGCTGGAGGAGAGATCGCGTGATGTACTTTGGAGAGTCATTGACCAAGATTCAGGCAAGTTTCTGTATGCAGGGCTTTCTGGTACCATGCATTCAATGTTTAATAAACCCCATCTGTTTGCCTTTTTTTCTAACTTTATCACAGGTCTCGAAATTAACCTTTTTGCTTGGTAGCACCGGTGCTCCTAATTTAGGCACATCAGCCAAAATTTAGTCGCACCCACCAATTATGAGCACCGTTACAAGTTTTATACAAACATATTTATTGCATTTGAAATCAACACTAATCAAACTAACAAGCAAAAAAAAAAAATTATAAGATATGCAAGCGTAAGGAAAATATGTCTCAACGAAATCCAGTTATCACAAGTAAATACATTTTTATAACATAACTGAGTGACCAAAAGCATACACGGAGCGATCACTGGCCCTGCACGCACTGCTTGAATGAATCTGTTAATGGTATAACTGTGCTGTTCTCACAAGTGCTGTCTGATATTGCACTGATGCTTTTGACACTTACTGTACCTTATTATATGCATACGTCATGTTAATAGCAATACTGGTCTTTTTAGGAGTAGCGATGTTTGTTTACTCGGTGCAAGCCCGTTTGCGATGGTGTACGTGGTGTTAAATTTGACATATAGCTGCCCATTGCATGGCGGACAGCATCTGGCGATTTATATAAAGGATTAAACAGAAGCTGTCGTGCTATATGTGGCAAACAGTTACCTGAAAACTCCATCCCACAGACTTTTCATAGCTGACTTGAAGCCAATGGAAGTCTTCTACTCTTGGAAAAGTGTAGATGGTGGATTAACATTCAGCACATAGTCACTAGTAAGATGTGTCATTTATAACTTTAGATGCCATGGTGTCTAAAACAAAATCTGCCAGTGTTATCTTCATTCTCATCTTCAGCGCTTTACAGTTTTTCACGGTAGTAGCTCTCTCATCCGACGCCAGAAGGCAAGGCGCTGACTGAGTGATTGACAGCTGATATTAACCAATCATTCGCATTCAGTGCTAGAGCAGTGGTGGGCCAAAAAGAAGAGCGTGAAGGTGGGGCAAGCATTACGGACTTGGCTTTGTTTACTGCAGCAAGTCGACATGACAATTGTTTTAAACCATTTCTGTGTGCTGCGTTTCAAGTGCAGACAAAGAGCTTAGAGATGCATTCTGCGTGAATGTCTCCCGAATCCGCGCATGTGGTGAACATTTTGCAGTAAAAACTGGTCGCACACAACAATTTTAAGCACTCGCAGAAATCCTCCCAAATATATTTTAAGGTTGCATAGATAAAATTTAGGCCGCATATGCGACCAAAATGGTCGCAATTTCGAGCCCTGTTATAATTATTTAAACTGGCCTCATATATGGCGACAAGCTACAGTTCCATTAAAACGATATGTCAGATAACTTGTGCTTAAATTGTGAAATTGTTTTATCTAAAAATGTGTAAATGCTTAGTTATTCAACCATTCATGACTGAAATGTACTACTAAATTTAATATTTAAAAGTAAATCCTATTACTAAAATCAAATTAATGTATCTTTTTCAAATTAATCTTCTGGGTTTTTCCTACTTTGTGAAGCCTTATTTCATCAGTTTTGTATGTGAACTGGCGGCTGCACTTGTGACCTGAGGGAGCAAGCAGCATCTTAAATACTGTTTTTGCTCTCTCTTGAGTCAAAAACAACTGATAGCCTACTATATTTGCAAGTTTGAAAGACCAATTCCATGTTTTATGTGATGCAAAGTTGTATGCTGAAAATCTTTGACATACCTTTTGGTTTTGTGATGTTAAACATTAAGAAGTTTGGCTTAGGGCAAATCTAATTTTAAAATTGCTTGGCACATCACTAGAATGCAGTACATATAACATGCTTTTTAATATTATTATTATTATTACTTTCAGAATGCACAGTCCTCGATTCTTGTAGCTCCCACTCAGACACACTAGTTCTCACCCCAAACCACCCTGAAACTGATGACCGTGCTGAGCCAAGCATGAAGAGACCTCGTTTTGATGAAGCTTTTGAGGCTAAGCAGGTAATTTTTAAATTTCATGATGTACTAGTTCAAGTGTTTGGCAGTTTTTTTCACATTATTATGCGGACATTTTTTTACTTTGTTTTTATTGTAGTTTGTCAGTGAAATTTTGAAAGAAAAGGCAGGTGGACTTGCCGTTTTGGCCGAATATAATGAACATGGAAAACTCACAGATTCAACCCGGCGACAGTTAGTCAACATCGTTGTTGCATACATAACTGAAAAAGAAGGGTAAGTTTCAATCTAAAAATCATTGATACAATTTTTGTAATCAAACTGTTTTAGTGTTTTAACTTATTTTTCTTGTTCTTATAGTCGTGTCCCTTCCAAAGAAACAAAAACACGCTGTGCCTTGGGAATTGTAACTCTTTGCCCATCACTGAAGGATCCATACTCAAGAACTGGATATGTAAGAATTTAAAACTTATTATTATTCTACTGTACCTTATAGAAACATTTTAGATTTTGTGGAACTATGTCACATTTCTAGTTCCCCTAATTGAATTAAATAAATTTTGTTTTATTCTTCATCAGTATTTTTTTAGTCTAGTGTAGTGACATGATCAGAAATTTAAAATGTTTGCATTTGATCTTATCAGCAGTCATTTTGTTTTTATTTAAGGAACATTTCTATGACCCCAAGAGCAATCAAGGATACATATCATGGCGTCTGAAAACAGTTTCACGCCGAAGCAAAAGCCAGAGCACAAGAAATGCCAGGTCAAGTGCAGCATCGGATGATGAAGGCAACGGAGGACCAACAGCTAACAGAGCCAACAGGAACTATTTGGAAAAGCAGCTCGATGGCGACCAATGCAAAGAAGCCATATCATTTATGAGTCATTGTGCTGACAAGGACCAGATTTTTGAGAAGATGAAACTAACATTCAAGCACAGACAGCAGCTTATTCATGATGCAGAGAAGTCCAGCACAGCTCTTTCAGTTTTTCCAAGATTTCTCGACACAAAGGGATTGGTAAGAGAAAGAGACAGATAATAGTATTTTGTTGAGATAAAATTAGGTAATATGCAAAAAGCATGGTGTGAATTTTTGTTATGTTTGTAATTGTTTTACAGGTTCTTCAAGACTTTGACATCAAATTTGGAACTGAAACCGCTTCCAGACTACTAGAACAATGGGACACTTTAAAGCCAAAGATCATCGCAGAGGCGAAAACGCTTAATTCAAACTTGTACCTAAACAGCCTGCTTGCAGCTGGCACTGGGCAGAACCTGGAATGTGAATGGCAAGGTATTAAATGGTTTGTTATTTGTAAGTTTTTGATTGTTGTATTTGTTGTTGATCTACATGCTCTCTTTGTTCTTGCTTGCAGGATGGGACAGTGACATGTCCTGTCTTTTACTACTGGCTTTCCTTTTGCCACCTTCAGCAGGTGGTAGAAACAATTCAACAAAGATCAGCATTAAGGAGGCAATGGATCATGTTGTGCAGTTTCACAAGGTTTGCATGGAAACATTAGTGAGCTGTATTGTAGGTTACTTGTTTGTAAGAAAATCTGTTTTTCACCTGTTTCAGGCTTGTTGCAGTCTAACTGAATATGTTGAGAAGACTGAAGGCCTGCAACCACATCTCCTTGCAGTTGGCTCTGCAAAGAATGCCATTCATGAGTTCTACATTGTTCTGGATGGAAAACTTCTACCATGTCAGGCAAAGTCATCCCTTTCTGCTTTTGACGAACTGTTTAAAGCGTATTTTGTTTTTAGTGTGTCATACCCCCACTCCTTAAATGCAATGTTTACATTTGTTCAGACAACAATCTACAAGATTGGCTGTGGCACAGTTCGTGAAACCCCAAGGGTAAAGGACCTACGAGCCAAACTTCTGAATTAGCTCTCTTGACTGACTGAAAATGTTCCGCTGTTTTGCTTGTAAAGCGGTACATTTAACAATTAATGACCTCATTCGTCATCTAAAACTCATTCATGCTTATTATCCTGGGAAAAAATTGAACTTGAAATGTGCACAGAACAATTGCAAGCATAGCTTCATGACTTATGCCGGATTTCGAAAACATTTGAGTAGTGTTCATAGACATGAATTTCTAGACCAAGCAGAGACTGAAAATCAGACTGAAGATACTGAACCGTCACATTTAAATAATCATAATGAACAACAACCTGAGACACCACTCGGTGATAAAAGGAGGGTGATTGACACTCAAGAAATGTGTGCATCTATTGTTGCTAGATTGCAAAATAGTGGAGTAGCAACCAGTGTTGTAACTTCTGTAATATCGGACATGGAGGAACTGGTCCATGAAATACATTCTGATATTAAAAGTAAAGTAATGAATTTACTTCCAGCAAAGGATTTTGCAACAGCATCCCAGGTAGATGACTGTTTTAGTAGTATGAATAATCCATTCACAAATCTAAACACAGAACACAAATGGAAAAAATATTTCAAAGACAAATGGGCTGTTGTCGATCCTACTGAGATAAAGCTAGGTGTACGATTTGACAGTAGATTGAATCGAGTGACGAGGACTTATGATCAAGTTCCTGTAACCGACAAGTTCATTTACATTCCCCTTTTGAACACATTGCAGTTTATATTTAGGAATTCGGATTTATGTAAACATATGACAAGTCCAAGTGCGAGTACATCTGTCTATAAAGATTTTTGTGATGGGGATTATTTTAAAAACCACCCACTTTACAGTAAACATAAAAATGCACTTCAAATACAGTTATACTATGATGATTTTGAATCTGCTAATCCGCTGGGCTCGAAGCAAGGCATTCATAAAATTGGAGTAATTTACTTTATTCTCAGGAACTTTCCACCCAAAATGAATTCAAGTTTAATGAACATACATTTATTGTCATTATTCTATGCACAGGATATTAAGAACTATGGATTTGATGCAATTTTGCGGCCCCTTGTTGAAGATTTAAAAGTCCTTGAAAGTTCTGGCATTCCAGTTCCTTTCTCCAAAGATCCCTTGTTTGGCACTATTGCACAGGTTACTGGCGACAACTTGGGAATGCACACAATTCTTGGTTTTATGGAATCTTTTAGTGCCCTTTACTTTTGTCGGTTCTGTTTAGTAGACAAAAAAACATCTCAGTCTGTTTTCAGTGAAGACGACACTAATATTACATTAAGAAACAAAGCGTTACAAGAACAGCACTATGCAGATTTGGTAGCTGACCCTAGCATTACTTCATCTTTTGGGGTTAAGCGTACATGTCTATTTAATGACTTAAAATACTTTCATATTTGTGACAACTACTCCCCTGATATAATGCACGACATCCTCGAGGGTGTTGGTCAGTATGAAATGAAGTTACTTCTTGAATATCTTTCTGGCATTATACCAAGACAAGACGTATGTAACAGAATCTATTCCTTCAATTACGGCTTTCTTGAAAGAAAAAACCGACCCACTAGATTAAATCTAGAGCAGACAGCTAATTCTATAGGTCTAAATGCCATTCAGACATTCTGTTTAATACGGAACATTCCTCTGATATTTGGAGACCTCATTGAAGAGGAAAATAATTACTGGCGTTTATTACTATTGTTGTTACAGATCATCAACATAGTGTTTTCTCCTGTGATAACAGAAGGCATGACCTACTATCTAAAACATCTAATTTTAGAACATCATAGTCTTTTTAAAGAGCTATATCCACAAAAGTCTTTGATTCCCAAGCATCATTTTATGCTACATTATCCACATTGTATACGCAAAATTGGTCCATTAGTACATGTATGGTCGATGCGTTGTGAAGCGAAACACAAGTTTTTTAAAAACAGCATAAAAAATTTTAAAAACCTCACCAAGTCTTTTGCTATAAAACACCAATATGCAATTGCGTATCATTGGGAAAGTTTACCCGTTAAAAATGTTGAATATGGACCTTTAAAAACTCTAGACCTTGATGATTTGCCATATCGTGACATTATTCTTGAAATGTATCCACATTTTTTGGACCGTGAGATCACAGTAACTTCATGGCTGAAATATTCAGGAACGGAATATCGTCATGATCTACTGGTGTTCAGTAAAATGGAGAAGGACTTGCCAATTTTCAGTAAAATATGTGAAATTATTCTCATAGAGGACCAAAACCTTTTGGTAACTAAAGACTTTGAAACACTTGGATTTGTTGAGCATCTTCATGCATACCATGTAAGAGAAAATAACACTTTTGGTTTGTCAAGAGTTGAGGATCTTCCTTTTTTCAGACCATTTGACTTACAGGCATCATATGGATTTGAAGAACCATATTTGTACATTGTTCCAGTGCATTGTTTTGTGCACGAAAATATTTAATTAGCTTGCACTAACTTCTGATTGTTTAGCACATAAGCTGAATGTATTTACAGATTTTATATTGAAGTCAGAATTGTGAGTTTTTAGCTTGTTCCTTTTTTTGTGGCAGAAATGAGCTTAGTTGCTTCTATGGGCACTTTCATGTTTGCACTTTATGAAATAAGTATATGTTGTTTCAGGTAACCTCAGATTTATGAGTTTTCTACGAGTTACAAAACAAGTTATATGATATTTCTATGAGTTACAAAAAACGCGTTATGATATTTCTATGAGTTACAAAATGAGTTATATGATATTTCTATGACTTGCAAAACAAGGAGTTTTTAAACAATGGTCTTTTTTTATTGTGCAGATGTTAATTCTATTTTCTTGCACTTGTGGAAACAGATTTTCTAAAGTTTGTAAAAAAAATTGAAATGTCGTTGCATTTTTAAATGCAGAGTTGAATGTATTGAAAATATTTCTAAAGTTTAATGAACATTTAATAAACAATTTTCAACATATTTGATCACTGTTATCCGTCACACCCACCAATTGATAATTAGGAAATAAAGGTAATATATTGACACTTTGAAGGGTACCACGCACTCCAGTTTGATGTAAAAATAAACTCTTACAGTGTTAAAATTAACACTGAGTAATGTACACATTTTATATATTAACACTTTGAAGGGTAGCAAACACAAGTTTGATGTTAGAATAAACTCTTACGGTGTTAAAATGAACACTGAGTAATGTACAAACTTTATACATTAACACTTAGGAGGGTAACAACCACTCCGGTTTGATGTTAGAATAAACTCTTACAGTGTTAAAATGAACACTGAGTAATGTACAAATTTAGTATATTAACACTTTAAAGGGTAACAAACACTAGTTTGATGTAAAAATAAACTCTTACGGTGTTAAAATGAACACTGAGTAATGTACAAATTTTATATATTAACACTTTGGAGGGTAACAACCACTCCGGTTTGATGTTAGAATAAACTCTTATGGTGTTAAAATAAACACTTTGAGTAATGTACAAATTTTACACTTTAGAAAGTGTTATTTTAACTCCAAAATGGAGGGAGTCATATGTACACCCAAGGAGTGTTAAATTAAACTCAAATTGAGTTAAATGTACACTCATTTTTTTGCTGTGTAGGCAGACAGAAATTCAAACAGACAGACATTCAGTCAAACAGATGGATGGAAAGTCATACAGACAAAGTCAGACAGACAAATCGGATGGATAAAGGCGTATGGACAGTCAGACGAACAAAGTCAGACAAACAAATTCAGACGGACAAATGCAGACGGGCAGTCGGATGGACAAAGTGGGACAGACAAAGTGGGACGGATGAATGGACAGTAGGGCTGTGCAATTAATCGAAAATCTGATTTCGATTTCGGCTTGTAACGATTATGAAAAGCCATTAATCGAGATAAACGATTATTCCATCACGTACCGCCCCCTTTCCAGTTGTACACGTGTGAAAACTCTTTGCCTCTGCAAAGCTCAGTTCCACGTGAAAATGACTAAAAGTATGTGCTGTATTGTAACTTTTGCAGCACGGGATGCGCATCATTCATATTTTTAAAAGCACAAAAGAGCACGTGCTGTTGTGTGTGTGTGTGCGCCGTGCTTAGCCTCGGACAGGTAGCGTGTGTGTGTTTGCGCGCGCGCCACGCTTAGCCTCGGACAGCAGAGTGCACACACACATCTAACGCGATCTTTATGTGAGCGCTTGAATGGTCAAACACATGCACATTTGTGTCAGAGCGCGGTGTTTAGTGATTATTCATATTAACCCTCATTTGTGAAATAAACAAACAAGTTGAGAATCAAAAGACACGAGAAAGAGAAACCATATCAGAGCCGCACTATTCTTAAAGTGAGCGTGCGATATTCCTGCTGTGCCGACTGTTTTTACTATTAATCAATAATAAAATTAAAAATACAATGAAGATGCTTAAAGCACAGTTAAAACATAACAGATTTAATAACTCATTTCTAATAACTTATTTATTTTATCTTTGCTATGATGACAGCACATTATATTTTACTAGATGTTTTTCAAGATATTCAGCTTAAAGTGACATTCAAAGGCTTAACTAGGGTAAATAGACAAGTCATTGTATAACAGTAGTTTCTTCTGCAGACAATCAAACATATATATTATATTGCCTAAAGGGGCTAATAATATTGAGCTATTAAAATAGGTTTCAAAATATTTAAACCTGCTTTTATTCCAGCTGAAACAAAACAAATAAGCCTTTCTCCAGAAGAAAAAAATATTATAGGAAATACTGTAAAAAAAACCTCAGTTAAACATAATTTGGGAAATATTTATATATAAAAATAAATTCACAGGAAGACGAATAATTTTGACTTCAACTGATAATCGTTTTGAATAACCGTGATTACAATTATGACCAAAATAATCGTGATTATGATTTTTACCATAATCGAGCAGCCCTAATGGACAGTCGGATGGACAAAGTCAGACAGACAAATGCAGACGGACAAATTCACATGGACAGACAGACAGCCGGTAGAACAAGGTAGGATGGACAAATTCAGACAGACAAATGTGAACAAACAAATTCTGACAGACAATCGGACAAAGTCAGATGGACAAAGTGGGATAGACAAAGTGGGACAGAGAAAGTGGGACGGATGAATGGACAGTCAGACAGACAAATGCAGATAGACAGTCGGGCGGACAAAGTCAGATGGACAAGTTGGACGGATGATTGGACAGTCAGATGGACAAATGCACACAGAAAGTTGGACGGAAACAATTCAGACGGTCAAATATAAATGAACAAATTCGGACAGACAATCAGACAAACAAATTCAGATGGACAAAGTGGGACGAATGTACGGACAGAAAGTCAGACGGACAAAGTGGGATAGACAAAGTGGGACGGATGAATGGACAGTCAGAAAGACAACGTAAGATGGACAAAGTCAGATGGACAAATGCAGATAGACAGTCGGACGAACAATCAGACAGACAAAGTCGGATGGACAAGTCAGAAGGATGATTGGACAGTCAGACGGACAAATGCAGACAGAAAGTTGGACAGATAAAATTCAGACGGACAAATGTAAATAAACAAATTCAGACAGACAATCGGACAAACAAAGTCAGATGGACAAAGTGGGATGCACAAAGTGGGACAAATGTACAAATGAAGGGACAGTCAGACGGACAGAAAGTCAGACGGACAAAGTCAGACGAACAAAGTCAGACAGTAAGAGAAACAGTAGGACAGACAAAGTCAGACAGATGAATAGTCAGTCAGATGGACAAAGTTGGATGGACAAATGCGGACAGACAGTCAGACGAACAGACAGATGGACAAACAGTCAGACAGATAGTCAACCGGATGGAAGAGACAGAGTCAGACGGATGGACAGATAGTCAGCCGGATAGATGGACAGACAGTCAGATGCACAAACAGACAGTCAGTCAGACTCACATGGCTCCCTCTGGCTGCGTTTGAAGGTGTTGTAGATGTTGATGAGGGTGAAATGATCGCCTTCAGGATGCTGGAACTTCATGTGGCAGCGCATCACTTCTGTCAACATGCCCACCGGAGGCTCGATGAAGCAGCTCGGAGCTGACACAGGAGAAACAGACAGAAGGATGGATAAAAAAACAAAGAACTAATTAATAAATCATATTAAATGTTTCTACAAATCCTTAAAAACTTAAAACAGATAAAGTAAAAGGTAGATAAAATTATATTTTTTAATATTTATAAGATTGTAAAAGTTAAAAATAAGGTATTTAAAATAAGACTTTATAGGCCACAGGTGTCAAACTCCGTTCCAAAAGGGCCGCAGCCCTGCACAGTTTAGTTCCAACCCTAATTAAACACACCTGATCAAACTAATAGAGTCCTTCAGGCTTGTTTGAAACCTACAGGTAAGTGTGTTGGAGCAGGGCTGGAACTAAACTGTGCAGGGCTTCGGCCCTCCAGGAATTGAGTTTGACACCCCTGTTATAGACTGACTGACAGATATATAGACAGGCAGGCAGGCAAACAGACAGGTTACCTGTGAGCATAGCCGCGATGGTCAGCATCTCACTAGCGCAGTCAAACTCACAGGACGCCAGCAAAGCTTTGGCCATCTGCGGTTCCAGAGGGAGTTCAGACATGATGATGCCCATCTCAGACAGGTTTCCATCATTATCCAGCGCAGCCAGATAATCCAGCTCCTCCAGCGCCTGCATGAGGCCTTCGGGATCTGCAGGAGAAAAAAAAAAACATCATGCAAAAGTGTCATCCTGTCAACTATGGAGCCTTTCCACATCTCTGGGTTACTCAGTAGAAGTTGGGAGAGTACAACTAATTATTTTTTTTACAATCATATTTGCTGAAATAATAAAAGAAAAACTCCACAATGGTGTTATCAAGAACTTCAGAAAATGGAAATAAATAGTGAGAGACTGATGACGGCAGCCAGAAGAGAGAATCATGTCAGATTTACTGTCCTGACCTCATAAAGGCTGCATTACAAACACCTCACACAAGCAATAAATTGTTTTTTGTAATTTGATGCAAAAGATGATATAATACCTTCATAAATGCATATAAATGTTCATGTTTAAAAACAAATAAATCTAAATATTAAAAACTGTCGGCGCAAAAGCCTAGTGGTTAGCATGCCGACATATGGTGCAGTAGCATGTCAGGAGTTCCCGAGTTCGAATCCCGGCTTGAGGACTTTCCCTAACCTGCCCCACCTCTCTCTCTCAAACTTCGATTCCTGTCTAAATACTGTCCTATCTAATAAAGGCAAAAAGGCTGAAAATAAATCTTTAAAAAAATATTACAAGGTTTCAAGATGCTGATGATCATAAAAAGCATCATAACAGTCTTGTGAAAAGACAACTAATGTCAAAGTAATCGTGTCACAGATGTTTTCACACCGCATGACTATCTGGGCTAGCATTTCATCGCTGCTTTGTTTACACTGCAAGATGGATCAGCAACAGGAGGTTTCAAACTGCATGACTGACTTTACAACAGGAAAAATCGCAGACAACTTCGTCCAAATTACGGGTCACAACCAAAAACACGTCGTATATCTTTAGTTATTAACTACATCAATGATTCTCAAAGTGGGGGTCGGGACCCCCCGAGGGGTCACGGGACAATGAAGGGGAGGGGGGGGGGGTCGCCTGGTGATTTCCAAAAATCTATTTATTTTTATTAAACCATAAGAATTACCATATTTTATCCATAACCTTCTGAAGAGAAAAAAATAGTCGTTTATACCACATATAGTTACTATAGTAGCTTATAGTTACTACTTCTATTGGATTACCCCTGGGGTAATTACATTGTATTAAAGACACAGCAATAGCGTCAGATGCAGCAGATTTCATAACACTTGGTTAAACTTTGTGGCCCATTTACAGCTCTCATACATTAAAAAAATTAAAGAAGAATAGACTTGGGTCCATTGGTGTGTGTGCGCCATTGCATGCAAGGTTTCTGTATTTATAACCACCTCAGAGGATATTGGGGGTCGCGTGTCACTGGCATTGTCATTTTAAGGGTCGCGGCCTGAAAAGTTTGGGAACCCCTGAACTACATAATAAGAACGAAGCCTTTAATGGGGTAGAAGTTGTAAATTTTTGCTCACCTGAATTTAAAGGGAATTAGCAATTTCTCCTCAACTTTATTCTTTTTTGACCCGGTTGTGGTATTGCTCAGACCACACGTCAAACACAGGCCAGACACGGGTGCTCCTGCCAAATTTCCACTAGTGTTTCCTTCATTTCTTGGGTCCTAATAAACTGAAAATGAGAGCTTTAGACTTTTCCCTCAACCTCCCGCTGGCCTGCAGGTCTCCACACTAGTGAATGCCGGTCTCTCGCTGAAGGTGATCGCTGATTTTATTTTCAGCCAAAACTCATTTCACACTTGGGAAAATACCAGAAGTTATTCCAACTATTGACAAGTACCTAATTCAAATCCTTTTGGTAAGTAGCAGAAAAGCCATAACTCGAAAATGGTTGCAGGCTGACCCTCCAACAAGGGCTCAATGGATAGGAATTGTAAAGGAAATACACTGTATGAAGAGACTCACTTTTAATCTAAGATTTGACTTAAAAAAGTATACCAAGTACTGGAAAAAATGGTCTGAATATATCATTGTAAACAATTTGTGATAATGTATGTCAAACGTATCATGACTTGATTCTGTAACTCTTCCGACAACCACTTTTGTTCTGTTTTTTTTTTTTCCTCTTCTCTAAATAAAATAATAGAAAAAGTTAAAAAAAATAATAATAAAAAAACTCATTTCACAAGGCATGATTTGAATCGCTGACAGCTCCAGATATTCAGCACGCCAAATATCTCACAAGCATCGGCGACTCATCTGTGATTCTCTCAGATGGCATCTTTGATAGTTCATGCTGTGTGATTGATACTCATGTGAACGAGCTCCAAATCTGCCTGTGATTTCAGGCATTTGTCTGCGATTTCTCAAAACCGGAGTCAAAATCGGGGCTAAAATCATGCTGTCAGAACTCTGCATAATACAACTAATAAAACAACAGTCTGGAGCATTTCTAAAAATAAACCACATGATTTATCACTTGAGCTCTCGTCTTCCGGTTTGTTGCGTCTGCTAGCCGTGTGTTTTGATAAATAAAAGTTTTGTCTTTACCTTCTGAGCTTCACATTGTTTAAACACTGACCAGAAACAAAGAGTGTAAACCCAGCAGACTCAGAGCTGTCAGTTCAGCAAACACACGCCTGACTGAACACCAACCAGCACACACAAAAACAAACACACTAGGGCTGTGGCATATATTGAAATGATCAAAATATTGCAATTATTCAAAAATGTCTAGTGGTGTAGTGGTTAGTGCGTTGTGTCACAGTTTATTCTTTATTTAGCCTTCCTTCATTATTATTATTATTATTCTCTTCGTGATTTGTGTTGTGGTGGAGATTGTTTTATTAATTGCAATTTCTTTTCTTTGAGGCTGGCTCCGCCTTGCACCTGCCGCTAATTCAACTTGTCGCCTTTATAAGCGGAAGCTGAGTGTGTGTCGAGGTGGCTCTTGATTTCCAGCGCGTCTGACTGATCCTCGCGATCTTGTCTCTCTTTGGAGAGTATGACCCGTACTTGCTGAGAATCTCTCCGTATCTTGCCCTGATGAAGAAGGTCCGAACTTCTGTGCATGTCTTGTGCAGCCGCTGCTGAGGAGCCATGCTGGTGTTGTGCCGTTTCTTTGATCTATGTTTTTTTTTTATCAATATTTTCTTTATAATATATGTTTTTGTTTGTTAGTCAAAGCAATTGCTTTGACTTGGTTATTGTTTGATTAATGATTTATATTTCTGTTGCCACCTTAATTAGATAGGACACGTATCTTCTGGTCTCTAAATAAATAGAGAATTGTAATTCTGGTTTCTGTGTCCTTTTATGTTGCTAACCCCTTCCCTAGACGAGCCTTAAAAAACTGGGGTTCGTAACAGTTGACACATGTACTCCGGTGCTTGCGGCGACCTGAGTTTAATTCCGCCTTGCGGTCCTATGCCGATCCTTCCCCTCTCTCTGCTCCCCATGCTTTCCTGTCAATTCTCTACACTCCTATCAAATGAAAGGCAAAACCCCTAAAAAATAATTATTAAAAAAAAAAAAAAGACAAGTTTCACATTGTATATTTAAATTGGAGAAAATTCTCAGGTGTGTTTAATCAGGGTTGGAAATAAACTTTGCAGAAATACAGCCCTTCAGAAGCTGAGTTTGACACCACTGTGTTAGTGTGTGAGTGTTATGGCCATTGAATATGCACCTCTATATAGTGTACGCACCGGGTCTGTTGATGAAGTGGCAATGTGTGACGCCGGCTGCCTCCATTCGCTTCAGAAACAGCGCCGTGGACGTGATGTTAGACTCCAGAATACGAGGATGTATCTCAGCGGGAAGCTGAACGTCCTCGGGATACAAACAGAAGCACTTTCCTTCAAATGAACAGTGATTCAAGATTCAACAGTGATTCAGCACTGACTGGAACTCAAGCAACGCATTTACAGTTCAAGTAAAAATAATAATAAAATATAAATCAAATATTTCCCAAATTATTTTTAACAGAGCAATACATTTTTCACAGTATTTCCTATAATATTTTTTCTGCAGGAGAAAGTCTTATTTGTTTTATTTTGGCTACAATAAATGCAGTTTTTAATTATTTTAAAACCATTTTAAGATCAATATAATTAGCCCCTTAAGCAGTTTTTTTTTTCCATTTGTCTACAGAACAAACCAAGTTTAACCTAATTAACCTAGTTAAGCTTTTAAATGTCACTTTAAGCTGTATAGAAGTGTCTTGAAAAATATCTAGTCAAATATTATGTAGCTATTCAATATTGTATTTGTGCATATATACGTTACATTGGTCAGTACTGAAGCTAAATCTGGAGCTAATCTAACAAAATCACTTACAATAACGGTCCAAAAACTGGTAGACCCAAATTTCTAAGTTATAGACAAATATTAAATACAAACTTCACAAAGAGGAAAAAATCAAGAGAAGCAATAAATAGAAACATTGTTGAAATTTTGTCGGCTGTAATTTATTTTAGCAATATTTTGCTTGAATTTAATTGTATTATCTTTCCATTTCTAAATATGTTTGGTGACTAAAATCACCATTTTTTAAAAATATATATCTGCTTAAGACCTTTGTTTTGTTTAAATGCACCAAAATACACTGCCTATATTCACTGAGAAATGGAGAAAATATTCATTTTCAAAATGGGGTGTACTCAATAATGCTGAGCACTGTTTAATTTTTATTATTTATTCTTTTTATATATATTATTTTTTAACATGCTTTGGTTTTGATTGCTTTTCTTATTTTATTTTTTTATATTTAAATTTCTTATTTTTAATTTGATAAATGCGTTTTTGTTAAATCTAATTTTTTTTTTTAATCAATTTAAAATGCATCCAACAGTGACCAAGAAATCACTAGTCAGACAGCAGTTTCCATAACTCTATTTAAACTGCAAATTTAGAAACGTTTTGTTTGATGAAAAATAAAGTGTTTAGTTCTTATTTGTACAGAGCATTTCAAAACAAAACAAACAAAAACAAAAAAACAACAAGTGAAAGTCTCAAAAAGACTCACCTGTGGATCCCGTCAACTGTTTACGCATTTCAGCTTGGCATTTACTGATAGGCCTGATGACCTCAGAACTGGCTCTCAGTCGTGGGTTATACACCTACACACAACATGCATAATAAGAGTTTCTGAATTATTTCAATATTTACACAAAATAAAAAGTAAATTTTTAAAAACCTGCAAAACCAGCACACTCACTAGTCTTTTCTCTACTCCAGTATCGATGACGAAAGCAATGGAGTCCACCGACCAGAACAGATCTTCTAATTGGCTACAAGAAACAAAGATCCGCCTACTCATCTGTGGGCTCTCTGTGACTGGTGGACAGATTCCAGCATGTCCGCTGCACATGGGCACGGCCAGCAGCTCTCCTAGAGATACACTCATTCTGGACGCTTCTTTAGTGATGATGTTACAGGCACACACAACCTCCTGAAACACACACGTACGGACACAACAAGTGTACTGAGTGAATCTAGCATTGGTTAAGATCTACATTTGTGGATAACAGGGCTGCAACTAACAATTATTATATATATATATATATATATAAATATATATACTTGGATAAGTTGGCGGTTCATTCCGCTGTGGTGACCCCGGATTAATAAAGGGACTAAGCTGATAAATAT